AATATATCTTTAATCATCTCTAAGATACAATGGTTCAAAGGTTAATCTAAAATTTGGACAATTTTGCTGTTACCTGATTTGGACAATTTTGCTGTTACATCCGCTATAAGATACTGACATATTGTAATGATGTATGTGGTGTATTTTATTGTCAGATGATATTTTATGAATAGGACTTTACACAGAACTTCATCTTACCATTTATAAATCTCGCATTCATCTGTGCATTGAATATTGTTGTCACACCTGGCTCGCTGCTTCTGTTATGCATTTAGAGATTCTTGACAAGTTCCAAAGTAATATCTGATATCAGTTGTTTGTACATGCTTTCAAAGAATATAATTTATTCCTATTAAGATAAATTTGTCGGAATCAAAATAATTGGCAACCCAAAAGTGCAAGCTCAGGTGAGTGCATCCCATCCAAATTCTACCAATTTCTGTTGACTTTGCAAAAGTACCAGATGTTTGGTGTTGTCCTGATGGAAAACAAGTCTCCCAGATGGCCGGATGCTTCTAGCGTCTGCTGATTTTAATGAGTCCATTTAGGAACATTCTTCTCTTTTTTTCTATGTGCTGTGTCCCTTCAGGACGTTGGCGATCATGGTCCTCCACAATTTCCAGTCCTTTGCAGCTCTTAATAAATGTCCTTTTCTTATCTCTCCTAATCCTCGTTCCGCAATTTATTTACACAAGAGCATATCCTGTCTTCTATGTTCCGTGTCCATTCAGGAAGTTTTAGATCATGGCTCTCCACAATTTCCAGTCCTTTGTAGCTCTTAAATGTTGTCTTTTAACAAATTTTGTCCTTTTGTTCATTCCTCCCTAAACCTAGTTCTCCCATCCATTTACTCAAACTCATACACCATCTTCTATGTTCTCTGTCTTTTAAAGTCGTTGGCGATCATGGCTCTCCGCAATTTCCAGTCCTTTGTAGCTCTTAATAAATGTTGTCCTTTTGTTATCTCTCCTAAACTTCATTCTGCAATTCATTTACTGAAGCTCATATCCTGTCTTCTATGTTCCGTGTCATTCACGACGTTTTAGATCATGGCTCTCCACGATTTCCAGTCCTTTGTAGCTCTTAAAATTTGTCTTTTTGTTATTTTCCCCTAAATCTCGTCCCGCCACACATTTACTAAAGCTAATTTTCCGTCTTCACTTATCCGTGTCCATTCAGGACGTTGAAGATCATGGCTCTCCACATTTTCCAGTCCTTTGTAGCTCATACTAAATTCTGTACTTTGTTATTTCTCTCCTAAACCTCGTTCTGCTATCCATCTACTCAGGCTCATTCTCTCTCTTCTACGGTCCATGTCCATTCAGAACGTTGAAGATCATGACTCTCCACCATTTCCTGTCCTTTGTAGGTCTTAATATATCTTGTGATTTGTTATCTCTCCTACACCTCGTTCCTGCATCCATTTACTCAAGCTCATTCTTCTTTTACTTTCAGGATGTTGGCGATAATGGCTTTCCACAATTTCCTGTCCTTTTTAACCTAGCAGAGGGACGACGTTTCGATTACGCTATTCGTCCTCTGCAATTCTTCTTCTTCTTGTGCCGTTCATCTTCAGAAAGTAGGTGATAATGGCTCTTTATAATTTTATGTCCCTAATAAAAATTGTCTTTAAGTTAACTCCAATAAGCCTTGTCCCATTTACTTAAGCTCGCTGGGTAGATTCAGTATGGTTATCCTCTGTCCCTCTTGTATAGATATTGTAAAACTAAATTTATTCAGAGATCACGGATTTAATACAAGTTAACTTTAGGCTCTATAATCACAGGAGAAGCTGAAAATGGTGGCTTTCAGCTTCTAAACATTTAATAGTATGGCGATCTACTGCTGGGGCAACGCTGGCCAAAGTGTCCCGTGGGACTGCTGCACATTCATTTTCAACTTCTGGTCTAAGAGACGCCAGTGTGGTCAGTTTTCTACGATACACAACATCCTTTACGGTCCCCCATAGATAAAAGTCTAAAAACTACTAAATTTTTTCTTTCCTGAAATGTACATAAATTTTTGGTCGACACACACACACACACACACAAACACACACACACACACACACATATATATATATAATCCTCAAAAATAATCTGTAGAAAAAGACAGTATGTATAAAGGAAAAAAGACAAGAGGAAAAATGTATATAGTTTTAGCTGAAGCAAATAAATTCATTTCGTTTTTTGCCTTGAAAAATTCCACATTGGGCGAAATGAGTCGGCTAAAACTACTTACAGTTTTCCTATTGTCTTTTTCCTCTCTCTCTCTCTCTCTCTCTCTCTCTCTATATATATATATATATATATATATATATATATATTGTGTATTTAAGCAGCAATTCCTCTTTTATACGATTAAATTTTTGTATTTAATTTTTCTTGTGTTCTTACAAGTGTTTTGTTTTCTGTTCAAAACTTCTGCATATCTGAGCGATTCCGGGCATTCTCTTAGCCATTATCAAGGGCGATTTAATTTTTTTTAACTAAATATTTGGTTATTGTTTTATCTATGTGTCTAATGTTATAGGAATGTCTTATTTTCCGAACAGGGTCAGCACATTATGGCCGTGTTCATAGTTAATATTATTGAGTGTTAGCTTTTCATTTTTTAATATTAGGGCTTCTATTTTTAAAAAATCTTTTTCTCATATATAGATGAGTCTATTATACTTGTATTTTCTAATAGAATGTTTCGCATGGAGTCCAGTAGGTTTTTTTTGTGAAAAGAGGAGAGTTATCTATGTACATTTGGGTTCTTTCGTTCAGACGGAGAGGGTTTGACAAATGATATGTCCAGATCCGCACAAAATAATCTTTTGTAGTCCTGACATGCTGATGTGTCCAGGAATTATACTTAAGTTATTTTCTGTACAAAATGACCATTTTGCAACTTGTTTAAGCATTTTTTTTAAGCATTTCACCCCGAGAAAGGCGGGAGTGCCACTAGCACGCAAAGGGTTACAGAGGATTGAGAACAAGAGTAAAGAGGGGTGTTTGAGGAAAGGATAAAGAGAAGGACAGAGGACCAAGACCAAGGATTCAGATGATTTCAATTGTTGAGATGTTGTGAGTTTCCCGCGTGTCGGTGTATGAATTAAGACAAACACAGTTGTAGAGGAAAATACTGGTATATTCATAAAAGCAATTAACAATAGAGTGATTAGTAGAACGAAGGTTGGTTAGTACGAAACAATATCCAAAGTCTATAGTCCAACGGTATATACCGGGTAAGCTTATCTGGACTGCTAAGATATTTAGCCACCCCACGAGGGCGTCATGCGGCACAAGGCCTTTTTAATGTGGGCATTCCTGGAGCCATTAGGCTCGGCAAAAAAAAGCTTCCATTTGAACCCGTATAAACGGGTTCAGGGGCTGAGTTTACCTCCCCGAAGGAGACTCCGCCCTTCGGCGTAGCCTCCTTCGGGTTCCTCCCGCCCGTAGGAAGAGAGTTGAACCGATCAGTCGCTCAGAAAGTATCTGGACTGCTAAAATATTTAGCCCCCCCCACGAGGGCGTCATGCGGCACAAGGCCTTTTTATGTGGGCATTCCCGAGCCATTAGGCTCGGCCAAAAATAGCCCATTTGAACCCGTATAGACGGGTTCAGGGCCGGTTTTACCTCCCCGAAGGAGACTCCGCCCTTCGGCGTAGCCTCCTTCGGGTTCCTCCCGCCCGTAGGAAGAGAGTTGAACCGATCAGTCGCTCAGAAAGTATCTGGACTGCTAAAATATTTAGCCACCCCCCCACGAGGGCGTCATGCGGCACAAGGCCTTTTTAATGTGGGCATTCCCGAGCCATTAGGCTCGGCCAAAAAATAGCCCATTTGAACCCGTATAAACGGGTTCAGGGCCGGTTTAACCTCCCCGAAGGAGACTTCGCCCTTCGGCGTAGCCTCCTTCGGGTTCCTCTCTGTCCGGAGACAGAGAGGAACCGAGCAGTCGCTCAGAAAGTATCTGGGCTGCTAACCCTAACTCTCTCCTCAGAGCTGACTTATATAAGAGGGACCAGTCCATTACTAGTTAGAAGGTGGGTGCGCCCCAACATCAATTGACATTACATTTGTATATTTGAAGATTATAGCTATCAGGGATGCAAGTAAGAGGAAGGGATTTCCAGTATCGGGAAGTGCCAGAGAAGTAGCTGCTGGAGTAGAAGAGTAAAGAGGCGTTATAGAGGAAAGGATGAAAAGAAAGACGGGGAATAGGTCAAGGCATTTGAAGATGTCGATTGACACTGCATTTGAATATTTATAGATTATAGCTATCAGGGAAGCAAGTAAGAGAAACTGAGTTCCACAGACGAGAAGTGCGAGACATGAAGCTATTGGAGTAGAAGAGACGGATACATTTAACCGTTTCGACAGTGAAAGGGTGGGACTGAGATGGCAACCTAGTTGCACGTTTAAATTCCTGCAGTTTGGGAACCAGCAAAAATAGCTAGTAGGAGCACTTGCCGTGAAGTTATTTATAGAATAGACAGAAGGAAGCGCTTTGTGCATATGCGAATATTTATTCTCGAGAAAATTTTTTTGAGAGAAATATTTTATAAATTTCAACCGACAGTAGGAATGGCAGGTCAGTCAATGAATGTCGAATATTACCTTATAAGGAAACAGCTATTATTACCATTACCATTAGTGTGTTCCGCAGATGGTTGTATTGGCGTCTTTGTTGGTTGTATGGTGAATATTAATAGAGTTGGGAATGTGTAAAATTAGGTTATGGTGCCTGCAAAAGTATAGATCTTGCAGTTTGCAAATATAGGCATCATGAATATTGGTGAGAAAACATTTAGAAAAACAATGACCATTAGAATTCAAGCACGCGCATACATAACCGAGTTATGAAAACAAACAATAGATTATGAAATGCCAAAACCATTCTCTGCATTGTCCTCATGCCCAACTCATTTTGATGAAACTAGAAGAATTGTTATAAAATCTTCTCAATTAAGATTTCCTTCTCATTGCTTATTTAATAATTCTGTCGGATATATTTTAGTTCATCAGATAGATAGATAGATAGATAGATAGATAGATAGATAGATAGATATGAATAGGCTGAGACAGATAGATAGGTAGGTAGATTATAGATATGAACAAGCGATAGATAGATAGATAGATAGATAGATAGATAGATAGATAGATAGATATGAATAGGCTGAGACAGATAGATAGGTAGGTAGGTAGATTATAGATATGAACAAGCAATAGATAGATAGATAGATAGATAGATAGATAGATAGGAAAAGGCTGTGGCAGACAGACAGACAGACAGATAGATAGATAGATAGATAGATAGATAGATAGATAGATAGATAGATATGAATAGGCCGAGAGAGAGAGAGAGAGAGAGGAGAGAGATGGACAGGCTGAGATAGGTAGGTAGGTAGGTAGGTAGGTAGGTAGGCAGTTATGTAGATTGATAGATAAGAACAGGCTATAGATATGAACAGAGATAGATAGATAAATAGATAGATAGATATGAACAGGCTGAGACAGAGAGATATGAACAGGCTGAGACAAATAGAGAGGTAGGTAGATTATAAATATGAACAAGCGATAGATAGATAGATAGATAGATAGATAGATAGATAGATAGGAAAAGGCTGTGACAGATAGATAGATAGATAGGTATTTTGATAGATATGAACAGGTTATAGATATGAACAAATACATATGAACAAGCTGAGACAGATAGATAGGTAGGTAGGTAAGCTTGATAGATATGAACAAACGGTGGATAGATAGATAGATAGATAGATAGATAGATAGATAGATAGATAGATAGATAGATAGATACGATCAGACAGACAGACAGGTAGGCAGGTAGGTAGGTAGGTAAATAGACTGACAGATATGAACAGGCCATAGATATGACCAAGCAATATATAGATATGAACAGGCTGAGACAGACAGATAGATAGATAGATAGATAGATAGATAGATAGATAGATAGATAGATACGAACAGACAGACAGACAGGTAGGTAGGCAGGTAGGTAGGTAGGTAGATAGACTGAACAGGCCATAGATATGAACAGGCAATAGATAGATATGAACAGGCTGAGACAGACAGACAGATAGATAGATAGATAGATAGATAGATACGAACAGACAGACAGACAGACAGGTAGGTAGGCAGGTAGGTAGGCAGGTAGGTAGGTAGGTAGATAGACTGAACAGGCCATAGATATGAACAGGCAATAGATAGATATGAACAGGCTGAGACAGATAGATAGATAGATAGATAGATAGATAGATATGAACAGACAAAGCGATAAATTTTTGAGCTTTCCTCGAACACACTGGACGCAACAGGAAGAGGAAGTAATTTTTAATTTTTAGCACAAGGGTTATTTAACGATCTGAATAAACGTTTCGCTGCATTATATCTTCACCACGAAAGATAAGAATAATAATGACCGATTGTTTGATCCTATGCCATTACTAACGTGGGTGAGTTCCGCTAACTCAAAATTCATCTTGAAGAAAAGAAAACAGAACTTCAAGGAAAGTTTCCTTTTTTTTTATCAAGTCTTCAGTTTAATGTATGAATGTTTTAGGATGACCATCTTTTATACTTATCAATTATAACTGGTTGAAAGAAGAAATAAACAAGTCAGCCATTTTGGAAGGCATGCATTTGGGTGACTTGTTAGATAACGATACGATTGCAATTTCAATTTATCTTTCGACCTCAGAATTGCCGTTTAAAATGTATTCAACAACTAATGATATATTTACCCAATAATGATTCAGGCTGTCTGTCACATGATTTTATAATAAAGTATGACGACAAAGACAAATTTTGGAATTAATTGAATATAAAACAGATGAATATAGAGAAGCTATGGAGGAAATGACAACAAAGAGAACATTTATAGATGACATAAGGAAGAGACAGTTGAAATTTATAGAACACATAATGAAGAAAGGTGGCTTGGAAAGTTTGATACCCACGGGACAGATTGAAGGCAAGTGGGACGGAGGAAAACAACGTATAACCTACTTAGTGAGCTTGAGTAAATGGATAGCGGAACAAGGTTTAGGGGATATAACAGAAGGACAATGTTTATTAAGAGCTGCTACGAAGGAAAGGAAATTGTGGAGAGCCATGATCGTCAACGTCCTGAAGAGAAACGGCACGTAATAATAATAATAATAATAATAATTATTATTATTATTATTATAAGAATTTACTGATACGGAATATAAAGGAAACACACTTTGGAGAAATTATCAAAGGAACTTAAAAGTATGTTTGATTGACCCCCTCTTGTTTACCAAAATATACCTTACGCAACGCTTGAAGCTACATGTAATCTAGGTTAGGTATTCCTAATTAGAACCATCGACATTGTGATTAGAGATTCTTATCATAAAACTTCTTGTTTGAATTTCTGGGATGAGCTGTTTAATACTTATAGAAAATTTTAATAGAAAAGACACAGGGAAGACACCTCGCGGTGGCTGGTATTGACTGAAGTTGAGATGCCAGTTCAAGACTGATGTTGGGTTCAGTTCGAAATTCCTTGAAAGTTATCCCGACTAAAAAAGAGCCTGATGAAGGCGGGTCGGAACAACACTCGAAACGTCATGATAATGACAACAAAGCTGTGTACGGTAGTCTGAGTGTAAATAAATGGAAATAATAAAACTGTCAGGAACGTTCAGATCTGGTACCTAGACATTATGAATTTAAACGCAGTAATACATTGGCAGCAATGTATCAGAACAGGCTAGATGCAACCGTAAGTGCTATGCTAACATCTTCTTCTCTAGAACTTCTTGCCTGTGGAACTGTCTTTCGACTCTATGCATTCCAGCTAACTTTGATCTTCAAAAATTTAAATCCAATATCAGTTGATATTTATGGCTGACAATGCTTGACCCAATAAAAATAAATAATATTTGTCAAAATAAATGAATATTAACAATAATAATATTCAATGGTCAAGTATAGTACCTGGGCGAGCAATGCAAATGTACAATGGAGTAAGTTTGAGTGGTTCGATGAGATCAGATTGGCGGGTAATCTAAAAATTACCTACAATCTGTTGTTAAATGAGGCAAGGAAAGACTTGTTAATTTTAACGACTTCAAAACGAAACTGGTCTCTATTATTCGTCTAAGAGAATTCTTTCTGTTTTCCATCACCATTGCTGATGCTAACCTCCAGGAGAGTGACTCGTTGCGTCTTCTCGGGTTAACATTTTCGGCTGACATGAAGTGAAAAGATTATACAGAATCAATTTTTAGGTCTGCTGCTATGAAATTAGTTAAAAGAATCTATCTTACATATTCCTATGTCTACCATTCGTCCATCGTTTGAATATTGCAGCTACATGTTGTCTGATGATCTAATTATATATACTTAAAGATTGTTGATAAAATCCAAAGAAGAATATACAATATTATTGACCCTTATCTGGCATCTCGGGTTCAGTTAATTTGCATCCGCCATAATGTGATTTTTCTATAAATACTTCATGGTAATTGTTCTGATGAACTTCCTCTATTCCTCTTCCACAGATAAATTATACATATGGGAACTAGTTAGGACCACATAGAGACTATGAGGTATTATGGTGGCTGTAGTAAGAATGTTAAGTAAAAATGTGTTGTTTTGGTGTAAGGAATAATGTGGTATGTTTGTGTCAGTAATTGTGGCTAGCTAAATTTAAGATATGACAGATTGAACACCAGCTTTCAATCATCCCCTTTTTTTTTTACCTTAAGCGCAGTACGATATTGGTCGTAAGGTCTTATGAGTTTACAGTTGCAATATATAGATGTAACCGTTATGTAAGTTATATGCTAACAGTCTCTTGCTTGTTGAACTCGGTTGTTTAACTCTCTTCCGGCTTTTTCCTTCCCAGTTAACTTTGATCTTCAAAAATTGAATGTCAATGTCAATCGTTATCTAATGTCTTCATGATTCTTGTACTTTCATTTTTCTCGGGCCATAATAATTTTTCTCTCATTTTTTTTAATCTCTCACCCTTAGTAACCCTTTGTGTCTTAGTGACTTTAGTGCCCTGCTTGGGGATAAATGATTAAAAGAAAATTAAACATTTACTCGTGTCAGGTTTTTCGGCGCAGTTTTTAGAGTTGCAACATGATTACCGTTATAATTACTCCAATGATGTTCGTATGGCCATAGATTACATTCCAGAATCTAGAACGTTGGCTAACACCAGATATAAAACTACCTCAGGCGAATTTCTGTATGCGTATTGGCTGTTAACCAATTACACTTCACATTAAAAAAAAAAAGAATCAATGATCCAAGTAAGTTAGCTGCGTTAGGACCAACTACAGAGTCAAGTGACCGTAGGAATTTCATGGCAAGGCGGCATGTACCAACTACATAAAACATTTGTTTAGTTGCTCAAATCTCAAATTCCAAACACCTAACAATCACCCGATGTAAAGTGATTGTTTACATGTATAAAGTAAAGGAACGTCTAGGTGAGAGCTGAGAACTTGAAAGGGAAATTTAGAGCGAGAAGAATACCTTGTCTGTCGAATATCAAGTGAACATTGTTGGTAGAAAGACGACAGGATATTAAGGTAGCTATCAATCAATGTATACGCATATCTACTTCAAATTTCGCATAGGTACATAACTGGTAGTTGACTATATTGTATATATATATATATATATATATATATATATATAGATATAGATATAGATAGATAGATAGATAGAAAGAGAGCGATAGGATTAAGCTCAAGAAGAGAGGATACGACAGAGGATATTAAGAATAGTTATATTATATATATATATATATATATATATATATATATATATATATATATATATATATATATATATATATATATATTCATATATATATATGTGTATGAAATATATATATATATATATGTATATATATATATATGAAATAATGAAGCATAAAAATAAAAGAAAAATAGATAGATGGATAGATATATTTATATATCGACACCTGTGTCCATATATATATATATATATATATATATATATATATGAAAAAGGATCGTCTTTTAGAAAATGCACTTTAAGAACGCCTGAAAATGATGGATCCATAAGAAAGAAAGAATATATATATATATATATATATATATATATATATATATATATATATATATATAGATAGATAGATAGATATATAGATATAGATATAGATATGTACGCAAAGGATATTAAATTGTATGTGGGATCCAGTAGAAGACCTTTTAAGGATCGATATTGTAATCATGTATCCTCTTTTACTAGTATAAGCAAACATACCTCCCTTTGTAAATACTTTTGGAAACTGATGGAACAATGCGAAACACCTAAGGCTAAATAGAAAATCCTAAAACGAACCAGAACTTGCAAATCTCTGAACGAATCTTGTTTTTTATGTTTGCAGGAAAAATATGTATTATTAATCTTTTGAACAACAGCCAATTATTAAATCAAAGATTTGAAACCACTGTTTTTTGTAGGCATATTAAATATCTCAGTTTACAATTTTGCTAAACTTTCAAATCCATTACCCTAAAAGTTTGAAATTATAACTCACCTCTTTTGATATAATTCTGCCCTCTTATATACTTTTCTACTAATCTATCCTAGATTATGATTCTTAAAATGTTTTTGCGCATATATAATACTAGTAATAGTATCAGATAAATTGATTTACTTCTATACTTACTCTACAAGTTTTACAGTCTGATAATAGGTCCAATTTTGCTTATATTAATTATATTAACATCCCGTACCTTTATGTACCTTTTTACTTATATCTTAAATTCTGAACTAAAACGTAGTGTAAAAAAAAAACAAAACAACAACAACAAAAAAAAAAAATCCCAAAAGAAACAAAACAAATGACTTATGTATTCAACATAGCAAGAAAAAAATATCTCCACCTCTTAATTTATTAATTTACAAAATACATTCATTTGTTACAAAACGAGTAGTAATAACTCCAGCTTAAATTTGAGCAATTCAGCTCTGGCTTTGTTTTAAAGTTGCCAAAAGCGTTTACAATTACTACTACAGTCCTCTGTATAAACGTATCACCCCTTCCTTCTTCATTGTCTTACTATTTCCTCTTCCCACCTTTCTTCTCCCACCGCTTACTCTTGGGAGGCTTGAAAGTGCTGTGCCTAAACCTTTGGCCTTTGCTCTCGATTCAAAGATTTTTTTCGGGTCGAGCCATCACTTTAACACCTCAACAATCCTTCAACAAACTGCTACCAACAAGCACTATTGTCTCACTCTGTCACCCTTTTGACTTTCCTATCTTTCCTTTACCCTTATACATCCCCTCTTGAAATGTTTTTTTTTTCAAACAAATAGAAAAAAAAGGAAGTGACGTTCCACGAGCAGCTGCTTACAAACAGAATTGTTCATAACCATTTTGGTTCTCACCAGTTGAGGTGCAACAAAATGCACCGAAACACGGTTGCATCTGTGTAGTGAGTAAATTGTTTGTTTTTTTTCTAT